TTATTATTATTATTATTATTATTATTATTATTATTATTATTATTATTATTATTATTATTATTATTATTATTATTATTATTATTATTATTATTATTATTATTATTATTATTATTATTATTATTATTATTATTATTATTATTATTATTATTATTATTATTATTATTATTATTATTATTATTATTATTATTATTATTATTATTATTATTATTATTATTATTATTATTATTATTATTATTATTATTATTATTATTATTATTATTATTATTATTATTATTATTATTATTATTATTATTATTATTATTATTATTATTATTATTATTATTATTATTATTATTATTATTATTATTATTATTATTATTATTATTATTATTATTATTATTATTATTATTATTATTATTATTATTATTATTATTATTATTATTATTATTATTATTATTATTATTATTATTATTATTATTATTATTATTATTATTATTATTATTATTATTATTATTATTATTATTATTATTATTATTATTATTATTATTATTATTATTATTATTATTATTATTATTATTATTATTATTATTATTATTATTATTATTATTATTATTATTATTATTATTATTATTATTATTATTATTATTATTATTATTATTATTATTATTATTATTATTATTATTATTATTATTATTATTATTATTATTATTATTATTATTATTATTATTATTATTATTATTATTATTATTATTATTATTATTATTATTATTATTATTATTATTATTATTATTATTATTATTATTATTATTATTATTATTATTATTATTATTATTATTATTATTATTATTATTATTATTATTATTATTATTATTATTATTATTATTATTATTATTATTATTATTATTATTATTATTATTATTATTATTATTATTATTATTATTATTATTATTATTATTATTATTATTATTATTATTATTATTATTATTATTATTATTATTATTATTATTATTATTATTATTATTATTATTATTATTATTATTATTATTATTATTATTATTATTATTATTATTATTATTATTATTATTATTATTATTATTATTATTATTATTATTATTATTATTATTATTATTATTATTATTATTATTATTATTATTATTATTATTATTATTATTATTATTATTATTATTATATTATTATTATTATTATTATTATTATTATTATATTATTATTATTATTATTATTATTATTATTATTATTATTATTATTATTATTATTATTATTATTATTATTATTATTATTATTATTATTATTATATTATTATTATTATTATTATTATTATTATTATTATTATTATTATTATTATTATTATTATTATTATTATTATTATTATTATTATTATTATTATTATTATTATTATATTATTATTATTATTATTATTATTATTATTATTATTATTATTATTATATTATTATTATTATTATTATTATTATTATTATTATTATTATTATTATTATTATTATTATTATTATTATTATTATTATTATTATTATTATTATATTATTATTATTATTATTATTATTATTATTATTATTATTATTATTATTATTATTATTATTATTATTATTATTATTATTATTATTATTATTATTATTATTATTATTATTATTATTATTATTATTATTATTATTATTATTATTATTATTATTATTATTATTATTATTATTATTATTATTATTATTATTATTATTATTATTATTATTATTATTATTATTATTATTATTATTATTATTATTATTATTATTATTATTATTATTATTATTATTATTATTAATTATTATTATTATTATTATTATTATTATTATTATTATTATTATTATTATTATTATTATTATTATTATTTATTATTATTATTATTATTATTATTATTATTATTATTATTATTATTATTATTATATTATTATTATTATTATTATTATTATTATTATTATTATTATTATTATTATTATTATTATTATTATTATTATTATTATTATTATTATTATTATTATTATTATTATATTATTATTATTATTATTATTATTATTATTATTATTATTATTATTATTATTATTATTATTATTATTATTATTATTATTATTATTATTATTATTATTATTATTATTATTATTATTATTATTATTATTAGTATTATTATTATTATTATTATTATTATTATTATTATTATTATTATTATTATTATTATTATTATTATTATTATTATTATTATTATTATTATTATTATTATTATTATTATTATTTTATTATTATTATTATTATTATTATTATTATTATTATTATTATTATTATTATTATTATTATTATTATTATTATTATTATTATTATATTATTATTATTATTATTATTATTATTATTATTATTATTATTATTATTATTATTATTATTATTATTATTATTATTATTATTATTATTATTATTATTATTATTATTATTATTATTATTATTATTATTATTATTATTATTATATTATTATTATTATTATTATTATTATTATTATTATTATTATTATTATTATTATTATTATTATTATTATTATTATTATTATTATTATTATTATTATTATTATTATTATTATTATTATTATTATTATTATTATTATTATTATTATTATTATTATTATTATTATTATTATATTATTATTATTATTATTATTATTATTATTATTATTATTATTATTATTATTATTATTATTATTATTATATTATTATTATTATTATTATTATTATTATTATTATTATTTATTATTATTATTATTATTATTATTATTATTATTATTATTATTATTATTATTATTATTATTATTATTATTATTATTATTATTATTATTATTATTATTATTATTATTATTATTATTATTATTATTATTATTATTATTATTATTATTATTATTATTATTATTATTAGATTATTATTATTATTATTATTATTATTATTATTATTATTATTATTATTATTATTATTATTATTATTATTATTATTATTATTATTATTATTATTATTATTATTATTATTATTATTATTATTATTATTATTATTATTATTATTATTATTTATTATTATTATTATTATTATTATTATTATTATATTATTATTATATTATTATTATTATTATTATTTTATTATTATTATTATTATTATTATTATTATTATTATTATTATTATTATTATTATTATTATTATTATTATTATTATTATTATTATTATTATTATTATTATTATTATTATTATTATTATTATTATTTTATTATTATTATTATTATTATTATTATTATTATTATTATTATTATTATTATTATTATTATATTATTATTATTATTATTATTATTATTATTATTATTATTATTATTATTATTATTATTATTATTATTATTATTATTATATTATTATTATTATTATTATTATTATTATTATTATTATTATTATTATTATTATTATTATTATTATTATTATTATTATTATTATTATTATTATTATTATTATTATTATTATTATTATTATTATTATTATTATTATTATTATTATTATATTATTATTATTATTATTATTATTATTATTATTATTATTATTATTATTATTATTATTATTATTATTATTATTTATATTATTATTATTATTATTATTATTATTATTATTATATTATTATTATTATTATTATTATTATTATTATTATTATTATTATTATTATTATTATTATTATTATTATTATTATTATTATTATTATTATTATTATTATTATTATTATTATTATTATTATTATTATTATTATTATTATTATTATTATTATTATTATTATTATTCTTATTATTATTATTATTATTATTATTATTATTATTATTATTATTATTATTATTATTATTATTATTATTATTATTATTATTATTATTATTATTATTATTATTATTATTATTATTATTATTATTATTATTATTATTATATTATTATTATTATTATTATTATATTATTATTATTATTATTATTATTATTATTATTATTATTATTATTATTATTATTATTATTATTATTATTATTATTATTATTATTATATTATTATTATTATTATTATTATTATTATTATTATTATTATTATTATTATTATTATTATTATTATTATTATTATTATTATTATTATTATTATTATTATTATTATTATTATTATTATTATTATTATTATTATTATTATTATTATATTATTATTATTATTATTATTATTATTATTATTATTATTATTATTATTATTATTATTATTATTATTATTATTATTATTATTATTATTATTATTATTATTATTATTATTATTATTATTATTATTATTATTATTATTATTATATTATTATTATTATTATTATTATTATTATTATTATTATTATTATTATTATTTATTATTATTATTATTATTATTATTATTATTATTATTATTATTATTATTATTATTATTATTATTATTATTATTATTATTATTATTATTATTATTATTATTATTATTATTATTATTATTATTATTATTATTATTATTATTATTATTATTATTATTATTATTATTATTATTATTATTATTATTATTATTATTTATTATTATTATTATTATTATTATTATTATTATTATTATTATTATTATTATTATTATTATTATTATTATTATTATTATTATTATTATTATTATTATTATTATTATTATTATTATTATGTCTCTCTTCCTCTTTTCTTTCTTTTCCTTTTATCTTATTAATCAACCACACGAGAATACTACTTTTAACACTTCACTTGCTTACTTTCCCCTTCTCCTTTTTCTTCTTTAACTTGCTTTTCTCTTCTCATGGTTTGCAGGAATATGTGAAAGAAAGAAACATACTCATATCACCTTGGTAGATAGGGCTTTCACAAACAAACTTTACTTGTAATAGGAGTTTGAAAGTAATATAAGGATAGCCTAGTTTGTTCTTGAAACCAAATCAAACAAGTCAGTCATGGATGGTTATGAAGCTACTAGGACAGTGTTTTCAAGGATCCAAAAAATGGACCCTGAAAATGCATCTAAAATCATGGGTGTACTTCTGATTCAAGACCATGGTGAGAAGGAAATGATAAGGTTAGCATTTGGTCCTGAATCACTTATTCACTCTCTCATTTTCAAAGCTAGAAAAGAGTTAGGACTACCTTGTAGTAATAACTCTCCACCAACACCTTCCACTCCTCTATCACCATCACCTTTCCTCTCAAGGCAAAACTCATCTTCTTCAAGGCTTACTAGTGCTTTCAACCTTCCACCTTCTCTAACCATCCCAAACCCTTCTTCTTCTTCTTCTTCTTCCTCTTCAGCTTCTTGGGCTACCATCTCTGACTTTCATAACCATGATGATTCAATGATAAGCCCCAACAATATGGCTTTACCCTCTTCTGCTACTTCTTCGCCTTTCTATCCAATTGATGATTTCCAACTCCAAAACCAACTTTCTTTCTTGAATGATGGTTCTGATTCTATTACTCTCTTTCCATCCTATGGCTGGGGAGGTAACTCTCTTCACAGGAGGAGTTGTTCTGTGAATGATGCTTGTTTAGGTTCTGAGGATCCAAATTCTGGTTTAGGGTGGAAGCCTTGTCTTTATTATGCTAGAGGGTACTGTAAAAATGGTACTAGTTGTAGGTTCCTCCATGGTGAACTTGGAGATGCGGATGCTGATGTAATTGTTGGGTCACCTAACAAAGTTGAGATGATGGATCACTGTCATGAACTCTTGAGATCTAAATCTAGTCATCCACAAAGATTGGCTACTGCTGCTGCTTCTCACCTCATGGCCACTAACTCTTTTCCATACTCATCAAAGTGCATGAATTTCCTTTTACAGCAGCAACAAAATGATACTCAAAGGTATGAAAAAAACTTTATATAGTATTCTTATGATTATTCCATTTCAATCATGTGTTTTTTAAGCTGCTGAATTTTGATGATGATTGATAATATAATGATTGCAGAGCAGCAGCTGCAGCTCTAATGATGAGTGAGGAGTTGCACAAATTTGGAAGGTCTAGGCTTGAAAGAAATGATTTTTCTTTGAATAGTCCTACTGGAATGATTAACCCAGCTTCAAGACAAATCTACTTGACTTTCCCAGCTGATAGTACTTTCAGAGAGGAAGATGTTTCCAATTACTTCAGGTTTTATTAAAAAACATATTGAATTCAACTTCATTGTTTTGGCAAATGCAAAAAATATTAAACTTGGTTTCTGTTGTTGTTGAAGCATTTATGGTCCTGTTCAAGATGTGAGGATTCCATATCAGCAAAAGCGAATGTTTGGGTTTGTCACCTTTGTTTATCCAGGGACAGTAAAGCTCATTTTATCTAAAGGAAACCCTCATTTCGTTTGCGATGCTCGTGTACTTGTTAAGCCTTACAAGGAGAAGGGAAAAATCCCAGACAAGTATTTCTCTTTTCCTATCTTGTTTGTTAGTTACAGCCTCTAACATGGTTTGAACTGTGGTTATGATGATTGATATGGTTTATACAGGAAGCAGATGCAGCAGCAGCAGGTAGATAGAGATTTTTCACCATGTAGAACTCCTACTGGACTTGATGCTAGAGACCAATATGATCTTCAACTTGGTAGGCTAATTAGTGCTTTAATTACAATTTGATATTGTCTTTCAAAGATTGTGTTTTAGTCAAACTCAAACCTACCACCTTCTTTTAATCATGTGATGTGTCTTTTCAATGTTTTTTTTTTTAAGGTGGAAGAATGTTTTATAATACTCAAGACATGTTGTGGAGGAGGAAGCTAGAGGAACAAGCTGATCTACAGCAAGCAGCTCTTGAGCTACAAAGTAGAAGGTTAATGGGTTTGCAACTACTTGATATTAAGAAGCAACACCAACGTGCACTTTCTACTGGAAGTCCAATTCCTTCGCCTACTCAATCTCCTAACATGTTCAATCAAACTCTTGTTCTTCCTTCTTTTCATAGAAGCTCAGATTCCTCAGAGGGTATTTTGTCCACTTCTCTTCTCTTCCATTTCAGGTGCTGTTTTAGTTTCTGAACTAAATAGATTTTGATTTCAGAGAATGGTTCAAGTTTTGCTCCAGCTATTACTACTACTACTTCAGAAATTACTGGTCAACATTTAGTGAATGGCTATGTTGGCAAAGAAACTGTGGTCAATAGTGAAGGGAAGCAAAGCTCAAGTCAGGATGAAGAGCTTGATTTGCAAGAATGGTATAGAACTTGTACTCATTTAGATTAAGTAAACTTCTAAAAGGGTACTAGAATAGTAAACACCCTTTTTTTTTTGCCTCTTTTTAGTCCATGCCAAAAACAAAAGTTCTGTCATTTATTCATGTTTCTTTAACCAATTTATTCTAACTATGATTGTCATTTAATTTAAAGGGACTTTGTATTTAAATGCAGTTTGGAGCATAACCTTCCTGATAGCCCTTTTGCTTCACCTACAAAAGCTGCTAGAGTAGACTTAGTGCCTCCTTTCTCTAATGGACCTTATGAGGCTATTGATTCAGATCCATCTGCTAACTCTAAATTTGGCACAAGTAGTAAATTACTTTCTACATCAGCATCGCCTCTTGATAATGTGACCTCTTTTAAATCCTATAATAACTGCCAATTACCAAGGTATTGTCATCACATGAATTTCAGCATACATAAATTTTTTTGTTGAACTCTTGATGATCTTGGTTTGGAATTTTGACTTAGGTTCTCTTCTGGCCATGGAACTATTGGAATGTTTGCCGGCACCGGCGGTCCGATTGGCATTTAGTTTTCCTTATGTTTAGGTAAAGTTAATTACTCTAATATTGCATAGCTTGTTGAAGGTGTTTGTTGTTTAGTGTAATTAAATAAGGAATTCGGTTTTGTATTGTTGTGTGTACAATTGTTTACAGGAAAATGAAGCAAAGATGATTAAAGAAAAGCTTAACATCCAACAACAAATCTATAGAGAATCAGCAGCAGCAAAGATGCCAACACCATCACTATCAATCATGAATACTATACTTGTTACTACCATACAAAATCCATACGTAAAAAAGCAGTTTCAGTAAAGGAAGTGGGGCAGGGCATTTCCTTTTCTTAGCATTATTGTACCAGTTTATATCTCACCAGTAGGTGAACCACACGTTAAAATATTAAATTAAATAACTCACACAAAAAAATATCAGAGTCAATGTGTGTGTATTAGGAACTCACTCCTTTGTTGGTGGATCATAGATTGTTAGTACTATGTTATCATTACTACACAGGTACCATAATTTCAAATCCTATGTACAGCTGAAGCATAATTACGTAGAGAAAAAAAGCAGGCACAGATGAACCAGTGTTAACTACAAGGCTAGGTGATTTGAGTTTGAGATTCAAGAGGGGGAAGAAGGGAATGTATAATTGTAATCTGATGTTAGTTTGGTTAAAGTTAAAAAGTGGAGAATTTTAGCTTTTGATGTAAAGTTGCAAGACAGAAAAGAGAAAAATATTTAGAAACAAGAATGAAAAGTGAGTTTTTGAAGGCTAAAAAAATGGTCAATTTGGCTCTTACTATTGTGAATTTTAAAGGAGAATTTGTCTGTTTGTTCCTGCAATAATTTTGCTTTTAAATTTAGTGGGGTATGTGTATATTTTTGCTATTATTAGAGAGGAAAAAGAGGAGGGGTCCATAAAACAGAAACATCACATGGGGTTGGGGTTGCTGACATTGGAAATGGGCCATATACATTTATAAAATGCCAGGTTGTGTTTGTTTAAGGGTCCTACCCACCACCAGTAGCCATGTGATGGGAGTATATAAATATAAATTTGCCTCTATCTTTCATGATGACAGGAAAGGACATGAATAGATCTAAAAGTAAGGGTAGATGCTCACACGTATGACAAAAGTGAGCAGTAGTAAGTTACCGGAATATTTTGGGGTCTGTGTGTGACACAGTCCGTGTGAGTTACTGTGCGTTATTTCTCCTCACTTTACTCTCTTTCAAATTTCAAGAATCCTAGGTGTTTGTAATGAGTAATAACTGCAAACGCCAAGAGCACTGTTATTGGTGCATTGTCACCGTTGTCTAACCGTTTCCAAATACATGTTAAAATTCAATGGATATTTAATGTGCAATGCGTGATTTAATTTTTTAATAATAGGTAATGCTAACTTGTGTTCTCGGGCACATGTTAAGAACTAAATGTAGAAATGTTTTTTTGGAATTTGTGTATTATTGGAACTTGTGTATTATTTTTATCAAAAGTTTATAAATAATTCTTTTATTACTTTTTACAATACAAATTTTCTATTTATAGATTTATTAACATGTGTCCTTAGGGTACAAGTTATCATTACCCTTCAATAATTTATGCAGTAAAGTATGCTTCTATAGATAATAGTTGAATTAAAATATAAAAATAATTAAATGTGTGGAATAAGATATAACGTTTAATGAGATCCATTTTAAAGTTTTTGATGAATTGTATGAATATTTTAAAAATGTAGATAGGTGGCTTAAATAACTGAAAAGTGTAAAATACTATTTCCTCATTTTCTTTTTAAATGTCATTTTTCTTACACATACTAAAAAAACTATTTAAGATTATTACTTTTCATACACTAATTTTCTTTTTATCTATAATACTCTTAACTATTTATTACATTCATTTTACTTTTTCTCTTTGTAATAATTATCTAGAGGTAATTTTGATAAAAGTGCATTTAATACTATCTTGAACTTTATAAATGACAATTAAAAAAAATAAAAAATAATCTAAAAAATGACATTTAAAATGAAACAGAGGGAGTATTAAAATTTAAGTGGGGCGCATTTAAAAAACTCGAATGGATTTAATGGATAATGATGCTCTAAGGCCAATACTAAAACTTATAAGTGTTGTGAAAATGTATAAAATGAAAAGTCAATAGTGGATAAGCATAAGCCGTCACGTTGTTGGTATTTGGTTGATCTTAACATGTTAGTTGCTTTCTGGCGTTACTGCGAAAAACAACCGGCGGAAAAAACAGAAGAGTCACCACTTTCGTTATTTATCTCAAAGAGAGGGAAAGGAAACGATCGCAAAAACCTGAAGAAAAAGGGAAAGACGAGGTCATCGCAACCATGTCTGGGTTCGGGAGTCGGTTACGCAAGGGGAAGGTATGAGCACCCCTCACGTCCGTCGTACTCGACGGGATCCACGCTTGGGTTGTCTAGTCTATGGGTGAAAAACAAACTATCTACAGCTGCTAAAGTTAAACGGAAAGAACTGACTCGATAGAGCATCGCCACTCTATGCCTACGTATTCCCTCGTGCAATGGGAAAGTCAGAGTCAACGTAGTTCGGGAAACTACGGGGGGGTTGCTCGCCAAGACGTCGCGTCTTGTGCCTACATATTCTCATCTGGCATGAGAAATCAGAGCAAAACGTAGTTCAGGCTAACTACGAGTAAACAAAGGGTGTTCTCGGTCACACGGGGGTGAGAGAAAGGGTTGACGATACTAGCGTACACATTCTAGCAGTTAGGTGTATGTTGCTCGACCATTAGAGACTTAGGCGTTACTCGTTTGTGTTAGACTATGGCACGAATCTAGAAGGGGGGGTTGAATAGATCCCAATTAAAATTTGAGTCGGCGCTACCAATTAAAAATTGGTTTTGAAAATATGTTTTAAGTGCGGAAGCGGCCTAGGAAAAATATAGTCTAAAACGAACGGTTATTGGAAAACCGGATATGCGTTAAGCCTTTGGATTGATGACAATATGGAAAAGAGAATCACAACACTAATCACACTTATCAATGATCTAATTCACTTGTTAGGATTCCTAGTTCCAATGATTTAAAGAGCAAACCAAAACTAGATACACAAATAAGATAATTTTGGTTTAGGCAATTTGTCGAACACTTGGTGTGCAAAAACACTCCAAGTGATATTTATGTTGAGTAAGTGATTCCAACTAGCCTAGTACAATGTCTTATTGTACCTTGGATTCAAAAACAAAGTTTCAACCTCTTACTCAATTGATATCACAGTTTGACAATAGTGCTTATACAAAAATCACTTATTTTTAAGCTAAAACGAAAATGCTGAAAAATAGAGAAGACAAATATTTGGTGAGGTAGTTCCCCCGTCGTCGTCGCTTCGGGGTACGTCTGCCCTTAATTCTAAAACTAGAATTGAGATAGATTTAATAGATATCACCTGTTGAATGTAACAGTTTATACAAGGATCGAACAACAAAAATACAATAGAATTCTCAAGATGTTGAATGTTTCTTCCACTCCTTGCCCCTTGATTCAAGATGAATCAAGTCCTCCGATCGTTGTTGATAGACCTTCGATTCCAGCCACCTTATTGAATAACCCTTAGTTCTTCAAACCTTCGGCCCGGCTGATCTCAACTACAACTAATCGAACCCGAGATCTTCCCCTCAATATCACTGAATCCGCTACTAGACTGTTGAAGAACACCTCTTCACAATCACCTTCGCTCAGCTGACCCTTGATGAAGAATCTCGTCCAAAAACCCCCAAAAATCAAACTAATCTTGGAGGATAAAATCCTAATGGTTTTATTCAAGAAAGAACCTGTCACAAGCTTCAACCCGAACTAGATTACCCAATCTAAGCTTTGAACCTTATCACCTTTAATCACTCACAATACACTTCAAAAATGGTTGTGTGTAATTGATGTGAGTGAGATGTTGAAGATGAAGATAATGAATCTTGGACACCTATTTCACTCTTTCTTATTCTTGAACACATGAATCAGTTTTTATCAAATGTTGTTTGACATAAGTAGTTGGACTAGTATATATAGTACCAGACCAACCAAAGACATAACAACTTTTCAAATAATAGTGGGAATCATTTAAAAACAGCATTTCCGCGCAAAAGGTCGACCACAATAGGTCTGTGCGTCGACGCATAACCTGCACCTTTGGAAACCTGCAAAATGTATCAGTATGCGTCGACCATACAGTCGGTGTGCGCTGACCCGCTGAAGAGTAAATTCTTCATGCGCCGTGTAACAGCCCAAATTTCATTAAATAATTAATTATGTTAATTAATTGACTTATTGGAATGAATTTTAATGATTTGGATAATTTGGAATTTTGATAGAAAATTGAAGAGGGAAATAGAGTGGAAAGAAATAAAAGAATTATATAAGGAAAAGGAAAATATAGAAACATGGTGGAAAGAAAAGGAAATATAAGAGAAAGAAGGAGAAAGAATAGAGAAAGAAGGAGAAAGAATAGAGGAAGAGGAGAAAAGAGAAGAGGAAAAACTTGGAAGAGATCAAGATCAACCCAAAGCTTCAATCCAATCAAGGTAAGGGTGAGAAACATTATTATTTGATCAATGTATGTGATTGTGTATGTTTGAGTAGGATTGTTGGATGTTTTCCCCTATTTTCCATTTAGGGCAAAAGTTGGATTTAATCGGTAGAACTCAATTTAATCGGTTAGATACTGAAATAGATGATGTAGAATAGTCTAGAAATGTTAGACTAAGAGAATTGGAATTGGATTGGTGAGTTTGGGGTTTTTGGAGTTGGTTGAGTTGGATAACAGTAAGTGAAAAACAAAATACGCAGACATTCGCTAGCGACTCGCTAGGCGAGCAGGTAGCGAATGCTCGCTAGGGGTTAGCTCAGCGAACAGATAGCGAATGGTCCCAGACTTGGACAGAATGGATTTTGGTGTGTTCGCTGGTAGCGAAAGTGTAGCGAACAGATAGCGAAATGGTTCGCTGGGAAGCTCGCTGCAGCGAGCAGGTAGCGAAGCCATCCAGTAGCT